TGAAATCTTGCCAAGAAAACTGCAGGGACTAGTCCAGGCAGTTGCCAGGAGTCAAAAACTGACTCGAAGGCACAAAAATTAAATAAATAAAAATTCAGACCTCAGAGTCAGGGTATAGGTGGAAAAATGTCAGAAAAAAGGAGGGGAGGGAAGAGTCTTTTATAAAATATGCTTCTTTTTGTTAATCCATACCCATCCTACCTAAATCTTAGCTGCTACCAGTTCCCCATGTTCCCCACCCCTACCCCACTCTGAAATTAAAGTAAGCTGAGGGGAGCCAAAATGTCACAAATGAAAATAGAGATTTATTTTGGGGGAAAAATGATTTTTCATTCTACCATTCTTCCAAAAGCTATAAGCAGTGGAATGAAGTTCTGCCCCCGCCCGTATCATTTTCTGTGAATGCCTATGGACCCAGAGGCACCCTTGGAAATAAAGATCATGTTAGAAGCTGGTGATTTGCTTTGAACACAGTTGACTTCCCCTTTATTTTTCTTTAAAAGAATTTTTAAGAGACCCAGTGTGAGGGAGTGGGGAAGCTGCTGGGTTAGGCGTAGGGAGAACTGGGTTCAATTCCCCCCTCAGCTGCAGAGGCTCCCTGGGAGACTTTGGGCCAGTCCTCCTCTCTCAGTCCAAGGACCAGAGCAGTGCAGTGGGGAAGATGCTGGACTAAGAGTGGGGAAAGCTGGGTTCAAGTCCTCCCTCGGCCACAGAACTCCCTGGGGGACTCTGGGTCAGTCGTTTGTTCAGCCCAACTCATCTCACAAGGTTGTTCCCCAGCCTTGGGTTCCTGGGGAAAAGTGGGGAATAATCCTAACAAATAAATAATACATGAATAAAGGTTTGACAAGGATAGTATCTGTGGGCACACTGACATCCACAAACATATTGCCTTCATAACTGAGGGACCAAGAGCCATTTCTGGAGGGCCGAGAGATGGGGGCAACAGAGCTAAAGTCACTGACTCTGACTCTTTTCTCTCTTTGGACCACTTCTTTCTCCCTCTTGCCTCCTTGGATGGATTCCACTCAACAGGTGAAGCTCAAAACACCCAGAAGGGGAGGACATTTTTTTCCCACCTCAGGCCGAAAGCATAAAAAGCTTTTGAAATCAGCCTAGTAAGATGCATGCATAGAATGAAAGCATAAAGCATGAACTGGCATTAGAAATAAGATGCCTCTTCTGTAGAACAGTGTAAGGATTGCTACTTTAGACAAGATTGTCCTCTCTTGGAAGGTATCAGCCATTGGAAGGTCTCTCCAGCCCAAATATAAGAAGAGAGAGCAGGGCCTGGAGGAAGGGGAGTTATAGCGCGAGCCCAGCCTTTGGCAGTGGGCCTGACCTACAACTCCTATTCATTGCCAGTGAATGAGTTGCACAGGTGCTCACGTTAATCCAGAGAGAAGCGGATCAACCCCAAACACTCCAGCCCTGCAGTGTCAGGTACCTTGGCAAGGTTCAGATCTGCAGGTCCGACGTTCCATGGATTTCCCAGGACATTCCGGCAGCTGCCCCAGCACTGGCTCAGAGTGCTTCAAACAGGTTCGGTGTCTGGTCTGGATGCCACTAAGGCCACATGCTGTTTGGGAACAGGCGCTCCAGGAAGACCAACCTGACCAACCCAACCTCTCCACAGGATCTGTTGGAGGGAACAGATTAAGGGGAAAAGGAATTTAGGAAGTGAATTGTGTCTAGAACTGTGACGATTTGGGCAGTAAATTCTTCACAAGTGAGGACCCATGTTTTTCTTCCTAAACCAAGGTTCCTCAACCTTGGTGCCTTGAAGATGTGTGGACTTCAACTCCCAGAATTCCCCAGCCAGCCATGCTGGGAATTGAAGTCTGGGAGTTGAAGTCCACACATCTTCAAGTCACCAAGATTGAGGAACCCTGTCCTAAATGATGTTATATTTTTGTAAATCTCAGATTTCACCAAGCCTGTTGAGATGTCTTGTTTGGTGGGGTTTTATTCGACCTATAGTCCAACTGCTTTTAATGACTTCACTGTTAGAAGGTGGGGTGAGTTTTACAAAGATGCATGAAGGGGAAGGAAACAAAAATAATACAGATTAAATTTATTGCTTCTTTCTTTGGGGACAAATAAGAAGCTCAGAGGTATTCCCCCATATTTCTTTGTTTACTTTTTTGGAGGTGACTATTCTAAGTATTAGGAAGGGGGGATGCTTGGCTGTTATCATGGATCCAAGAAAAAGTGTGAGGTTGGCAATCAATACCTGCTTTTAAAAATATCTGTACCTCCAGACCTCCCCCAGCCCCGCACCATCAGAATTTGGGGGACTGATAACCCGACTAATTAAATGGCTGCCATCAGTTGCCTTGTCAAAATCCATCTTGGACCACCCAAGGAAGCCTGGATTTTTTATGATACTAATCCTCAAGAGAGATAGTTAAACCCCCACCCCAAAATTTAGGGGGCCTCCAGATTACATCCAGTGGCAGAGATGATCAGGAGAGAATGCTGTAAGGTCCAGTCTCCCCAAAGGAAATTATGCCATATAGTCATAGCTTAAGCATTCACACTGAACCCTCTAATGCAATGTTTTCCCAACTTGGCAATTTTAATGGACTTCAACTCCCAGAATTCCCTAGCCAGCATGCTGGCTAGGGAATTCTGGAAATTGAAGTCCACACATAAAGTTGCCAAGTTTGAAAAACACTGTTCCAATGGTTCCAATTGACTGTGTGAACCAGTAATTAGAGCGTCAGATGAAGACTAAAGCCGTTTTCCACTCAGCTGTTCACTTCCTGCCTCAGTTCATACAACATACTTACCCAGCTCACTTAAAAACTTAGTACAGCAGTGGCTTTTGCACCAAATAGTTAAATTTTGATTGACTTGCTTGTTTTTTGTGGCCTAATATATTGTGTACATTCCCACAATGAGTTAGTTTGCAATTCGCGTGAATCCAGAAAAGGGGTTAACTTAATAACCAGGTTAGATGGGTTGTGTAAATGGGGCCAATAGGGTTGTTGTCATGATAAATGGGAGGGGGGGGGTTGAGCATCTTGGATAACAGCTGCATTGCATCTCTGTTTCCACTCAAGTGCAAGAGAAGGGAATTTCCCTGTGGGCACAGACAGGAGGATCTCTTAGTTATGGTCTTCCCTTTTGTCCTCACAGCAACCCTGCAAGGTAGCACGGGGACGAATCACTGCCCCAACGTGGCCTTTTGAGCACTGTGAAGCACAGATCAGAGCAGGAAGGCAAGATGCCCAACAGGAAGGCTGGTAGGGGAAATGGGAGGTGGCATCAGAGTTCTGCTAGGGCAATAAAGACAGACCCTTGCCCACACTCACCTACAGGGCAGAGGAATCGAACATGATAGTTGGAGCAGCTCTTGTTGCCAGGCTGCTCTTGGTTGAGGCAGTAGAAGCCTTCTTGGGGGCTGTAGCGCACAACTTCCCCCACTTCTTCGGGGAGCTCCCACTCGGTGGTGCGGGCCTGGATAGACAGGGGCCGGGCACAGACACGCTCACGGTAGTAGAACTGGATGGCCTTCAGCGTCTCGAAATCCCCTTCGCCTCCAGGATGGTCCACGTTGAACCAAGAGGTCCATTCCCCTGCAAGTGGAAGAGGAGGAAAGAGAACAAGTCTCCCAGATCACGACTCCTTGTGGTGAGCCGAGGGCCGCCCCTCTACCACAGGGCTTTCTACACCAGGCTGTGGTTCAGAAGGGGACCCATTTCACAGATGGGTACATCAAGGAAGCAAGACTTGCCAGTTCAAAGAGAACCCCAAGCATTATTTCAAGAGTTGGCATTTTCCTGGCATCCCCATTTATTAGGACACTGATTTCAAGGGACCAAAAACAATGGAGGAAAAAAATGGGTCAACAGTATGCACTGAGAAGGGCAGAAGAGGTGGTTTTCAAATGAGCTTTCTCCACTTCATTTATTTATCAAATTTATATGACACCCAATGCCCCACGACTCTGGGCAGCTCACAACAACGAAAACAAGGAAAATAGAATAGTAGCCAATTAAAATAATAATAACAATAACAATAAGTAATAATATGGCAAGAACAGCAGACCATCAAGGAGGAAGCAAAGCGTCTTCCCTCTCCTTTGCCAAAGGCTACACCTTCATCTAAAATATGCAAATATGTCCTGGCAGGTCACCTGTTTTTTCCTGCTCTCCCCCCCACCAATGCTGGCAGCATCTGGCTGTCTTATCTGGGCTTGGAAGCTAAGCAAGCAGGGTCGTCTCTGGTTAGTATTTGGATGGGAGACCACCAGGAATCCCAGCATAGGCTGGACTGAAGAATATCCCAGAAGACCGGGGGAAACCACTTCCCTTCTGTTGCCTTGTGAAAGGGATCTGGAGAACTGACAAGGAAAGTCAAGAGATCGAGCATAATACAGTGCAAGCCATTTTGAATCTGGCCCAGTTTGAAGGGAAGCTGGTTAAAATTTGAATGGGTCAATCAATTTGGTTGAAAGGTTTCACATTTTGAAACCCTTCTTCATTTCAGTTGGTTGCACTATTTCTTCTCAAATACAGTTTCTGTGTAAAATGTACTTGATCTGCATGAGCTTAAGAGGCACATAAAGGCTCTTTATTCAAAGACGAGGACCCCACAAATAATGCAGAGACAGATCTGAAACTCCATGTGCTATTTTTCTTACCAGTTGGCTGTGTTCACACAACACACTGGGGTAGGCTAAACTCACTTTCATGTGGGTACCTACCATTGTGGGAACCCAGTTGCATGTTATGAAAACCCAGCAATTGTGTTCTGTTAACCCAGATTCTTACTGTAATGCAGTTTTTCCTAATAGTAAAACTCCAGTAGTAAAACTCCCCTTCATGGATCACTGCCTTGTCGTGGCGAAGGGGCTTGCGTAACTCAGTGA